GGGTCACAGTAATGCTGGAAACTGCGAGAAACGTTTACTGATCCTGATGCCCTTGGTTCTGACTGTGTATGTGTTAGATTAGACCTGTTCTCTCCCCAGGTCAAGCGAGGCCTTCCACAGTGTGGTTTCGTTGCCAGTGTTCCTTCCTTTTGCCACCGACGGATCCACCTGTACACTGTCGAGACGCTGATGCCACTCTCATGGGATATGTCCCGTGCTGACATACCACTCAGCCACATCCAAACGATTTTTGCGCGGTCAGCCAACACCACCCTATGTTTTATTATGCGCCTCTCCATTGGGCAGCTTCTGTCAAACAAGAATATTATATGCATGGCATCGTCTGCCTCAAATTATTGCGACATTTTATTTTACAAATAAAATAATTGTATTTAGAATGAATATCAATTCACGTGTCACATCCTAAGAGCCAGCCTTGTTAACTTACAGGGAAACACTAACGCTCTTGATCTTTAAGAAGATATTTATTTTTAAATGAAGGAGCAAAATAATATTTTGTAGCTAACTATACATTAATACATCAAATATATATTTTAATTAAATTGATCTGCTACAGCATTTCGTCCGTACACCTGACCCATACCGACCCCAGACTCCATCATATTATTTTCATGTCCATTCACACAAGTATTCTCCTTATTCTCCTTCATATAAATATTATGACCATCCTACAACCTCACAGACCTGACCATATAGAGTATATCTGTGTACGAGTGTGTGATCAAAATACATTACCTTAACAGCTACATAACCAGATAATATAATTTACAAATTAAAACAAGTACCCCAAGAAAATATAATCTCAGAAAATAGAAATCGACCAGAAGCAAAAGTGAAAGTAATTTTAAAATTGTTATTGTCAAAATAAAAAAATATATCAAATGAAAGCGGCAAAGGGAACCGGTATGACAGGTATTATTGCGCAATACCAGGATCAAGCTGCGTGCGTGGTATTAATTTCCTCACTTGAACCTGGCAGACAAGTAGCCTATTAAGTGTAGTTAGCCCCAAGTTACGTTTTTCTCTCTACTAAACCTCTCTCTTCGCTCTACCTGTACACCTATTACTATAATTTCCACTTACTTGAATAGCAGTGACTATAATATTTCTTCCGTCTACCTGAATAACTGATATATCTTCTACCAACTTCAACATCTGTAACTATATCTTCTCTCAACTTCAACATCTGTGACTATATCTACTCTCAACTTCAACATCTGTGACTATACCCCCTCTCAACTTCAACATCTGTGACTATATCTTCTCTCAACTTCAACATATGTGACTATATTTTCCCTCAACTTCAACATCTGTGACTATATCTTCTCTCAACTTCAACATCTGTGACTATGTCTTCTCTCAACTTCAACATCTGTGACTATATCTTCTCTCAACTTCAACATCTGTGACTATATCTTCTCTCAACTTCAAATTCTGTAACTATATCTTCTCTCAACTTCAACATCTGTGACTATATCTACTCTCAACTTCAACATCTGTGACTATACCCCCTCTCAACTTCAACATCTGTGACTATATCTTCTCTCAACTTCAACATATGTGACTATATTTTCCCTCAACTTCAACATCTGTGACTATATCTTCTCTCAACTTCAACATCTGTGACTATGTCTTCTCTCAACTTCAACATCTGTGACTATATCTTCTCTCAACTTCAACATCTGTGACTATATCTTCTCTCAACTTCAAATTCTGTAACTATATCTTCTCTCAACTTCAACATCTGTGACTATATCTACTCTCAACTTCAACATCTGTGACTATACCCCCTCTCAACTTCAACATCTGTGACTATATCTTCTCTCAACTTCAACATCTGTGGCTGTACCCTCTCTGCTTCAACATCTGTGAGCTATATCTTCTTTCACTTCAACATCTGTGACTATATCCTCTCTCACTTCAACATCTGTGACTATATCTTCTCTCAACTTCAACATCTGCTTGACTATATCTTCTCTCAATTTCCAACATCTGGCAATATACCTCTCTCCAACTTCCAGCATCTGTGACTATATCTTCTCTCAACTTCAACATCTGTGACTACTTCTCTCCAACTTCAACATCTGTGGCTACCCCTCTCACTTCAGCATCTGTGACTTAATATTTTCTCTCAAATTCAACATCCTGACTATAGCTTCTCTCCTTCAACATCTGTGACCATATCTTCTCTCAACTTCAACATCTGCTGACAATATCTTTCTCCTTCAACATCTGTATATTTTCTCTCAAATTCAACATCTGTGACTATAGCTTCTCTCAACTTCAACATCTGTGACCATATCCTCTCTCAACTTCAGCATCTGTGACTATATCTTCTCTCAACTTCAACATCTGTGACTATATCGTCTTTCAACTTCAACCTCTGTGACTATAGCTTCTCTCAACTTCAACATCTGTGACTATATCTTCTTTCAACTTCAACCTCTGTGACTATAGCTTCTCTCAACTTCAACATCTGTGACTATATCTTCTCTCAACTTCAACATCTGTGACTATATCTTCTCTCAATTTCAACATCTTTGACTATACCCTCTCTCAACTTCAACGTCTGTGGCTATACCCTCTCTCAACTTCAACATCTGTGACTATATCTTCTCTCAATTTCAACATCTTTGACTATACCCTCTCTCAACTTCAACATCTGTGACTATATCTTCTTTCAACTTCAACATCTGTGACTATATCCTCTCTCAACTTCAACATCTGTGACTATATCTTCTCTCAACTTCAACATCTGTGACTATATCTTCTCTCAATTTCAACATCTGTGACTATACCCTCTCTCAACTTCAACATCTGTGGCTATACCCTCTCTCAACTTCAGCATCTGTGACAATATTTTCTCTCAAATTCAACATCTGTGACTATAGCTTCTCTCAACTTCAACATCTGTGACCATATCTTCTCTCAACTTCAACATCTGTGACAATATCTTTTCTCAACTTCAACATCTGTGACAATATTTTCTCTCAAATTCAACATCTGTGACTATAGCTTCTCTCAACTTCAACATCTGTGACCATATCTTCTCTCAACTTCAACATCTGTGGCTATACCCTCTCTCAACTTCAGCATCTGTGACAATATTTTCTCTCAAATTCAACATCTGTGACTATAGCTTCTCTCAACTTCAACATCTGTGACTATAGCTTCTCTCAACTTCAACATCTGTGACTATAGCTTCTTTCAACTTCAACATCTGTGTCTATATCTTCTTTCAACTTCAACATCTGTGACCATATCCTCTCTCAACTTCAGCATCTGTGACTATATCGTCTTTGAACTTCAACCTCTGTGACTATATCTTCTTTCAACTTCAACATCTGTGTCTATAGCTTCTCTCAACTTCAACATCTGTGACTATATCTTCTCTCAACTTCAACATCTGTGACTATATCTTCTTTCAACTTCAACCTCTGTGACTATAGCTTCTCTCAACTTCAACATCTGTGACTATATCTTCTTTCAACTTCAACATCTGTGACTATAGCTTCTCTCAACTTCAACCTCTGTGACTATATCTTCTCTCAACTTCAACATCTATGACTATATCCTCCTGCTTCATGAGCATCTGTGATTAATTTTTATCCCTTTCTTCCGGTTACAATAATACAAATACCACAGTTTTTCCTTTAACATGTCTTAAACTTATGTGTTATCAAGGTAATGTAGCATGATTAGTCGTTTACTGATTTTTTTTGCACTGACCAAGAGAGATTTTCGTGCTTGAAAAATTTATGTATAAGAAAATGCCGTTGTGTAAAAAGACCATAAAAATAATTTGTAATAGGTAATACTAATTCCTATTGCGCAAAGATTTTGTTCGTTACCCAACATATTGTAATCTTTCGTAATTCTGCATCTGAAGGTAAAAGGGAAGTCATATGTTTCAGGAATTATAAAGGGTGCCATTGGAAACAGAAATCAGGCGAGTGGTCGTCTTAAAAAAACCTTCGTAAATGTGTAAGTTAGTGGACAGAAGTGAAAGGAGGGTAATTTATAAAACATAATATATCACACAACCTGGAACAAATAGTCTCAGCAGAGTAAAGTACTTAAGTAACCGAGCAGCCCTTGGTAGTCGAGATAATTTGATCATAAAAACTACATCATCCTTTCCGTCGTTTACGCTTACCCAATACACTAAAACTGAGGTCACTGGTCCAAACGTATAAATATTCATACATTAAAGCAGGTGGAAAACGGACCCCCCCGCTCCCCATACATACACAATCACACGAGGGGAAAATTAGTGTCTCTCACTCTTTGCCTCCCTGTTTGTTTTTCTCTTTCTCTTTCTCTACCTGCACGTTTCTCTCACTCAGTCTCTGATTCATGATAGAACAGGTGAGGTGTACGATGTAATTTGTGAATGTGTGACTCCCAGTATTCTCAAAATTGTCAGTTAAATACAGACTCAGCGTAAATGGTTGTAAATGACAGGCCACACATTCTTGGTGAAATAGTAGCAAGAACTTTACTATCAGTAATGTGCAACTGAGATGGAACAGATCATGAATGTATGGTTGTGTGTTCGTCTTTTATATAAAGCTTAAGAAATTAAATGGCTTCATTGAGGATGCTCCATATAATTCTTACTGATTACTTTTAGAGATTATAGTATGGAAAAATAGGTAACAGAAGTACAATATAAGGAAAGAAGATATACTGAAGGAAAATCGAATGTGGAAAAGAGGTAAATACAACAAATGATAATCGACAGATGTGATGATATTTGTTATGATAGTAAAACATATTTTATTACTTTACCAAAATTAAATTAACTCACATTTTCTAAACGTCATAACAAATTTCATATAAAACGGTGTAACGTGTTCTGGTTATAAGGACAACGAAAAACTAAAATGAATGCTGAAAATTTTAACCCTCAATATTTTCATGATAACTTTCACTTGATTTTTATAGTGTTTACGAAATGAGATTTACAGGCAACTTACGTTCTGAACTGAAGCAGGGATGAAGTAAGCGTTGCGTTGGCTCAAGGTGAAATGTTCTCCAAGAGAGTCAGTCGGGCTTATTTATACCTGGTAGCGGGATGAGTGCGCATGTGCTATCGCTGAGTTCATGACGCCATAGTAAACAGAGCTCTAGTTGCTTGTTCAAAGTCTTGTTCTTGTGATTAGGAACAAAGGTAGTGTTTCAGGTATGTGTTATTTTTGTGTAAGTCCTAGTTGATCCCTAAAGTAAATACAAATTAACGATATATATACAATCAACACCTCAACCCACCAGGATTCGAACCCACGGCCCACGAGCGTGACCGGGGAACGCTACCTACTGAACCACCAGGGATAATAAAACATATATATATATATATATATATATATATATATATATATATATATATATATACTATAATATATATATATATATATATATATTGATAAAATCACACAGGAAAAGGGGAAACGATGGGACACCTTAGCTTTCGTCTTTAATCAAGACATCTTCAGTTGCCTCTGAAGATGTCTTGAATAAAGACGAAAGCTAAGGTGCTGCATCGTTTCCCCTTTTCCTGTGTGATTTTATCAAAATTTATCTTATCCACGTTTCCATTGTGGATGATTTTATTATATCTGTATTATTATTACTATAACCATTAATTGCAAATACATTATTATTACAATTTATACTGTTAATGTTACCTTCTTTTCATTAATGTTGTCTTTATGACTTAATTGTGTATATATTATCATTATTATTGTCGAAGATATTGTTAAATTTCGTTTATCGTCGTAGTCATGTTTCTGGGGTACTCTTTTATCTAATGAAATAGCGTGGTGACGTCAGCAGAAAAATAATGTGGCGAAGGTAATTTACTTATTTATTTTCCCGCTTCCTGGTCCCTCGTTAATTTACTTGGCACTGTTAACATTTATAATACAGGGTATATGTTTTTGCCTATGACTGTACTGTATATCCTCTATTACTGGACCTTACATTGTGGGTGTACAATGAATAAAGGAAGAAGCAAAGAACATCCAGTCTATCACCTTTATTAAAATCAGGAATACCTACCTGTTACCACCAGCTGAATATACACAACAGGAAGATATACATACAAAAGAAAGTACACTTGAGTTATTTTACAGAAATCGTCTTTTGATAACATATCTTACATCATATTATTAAGATGAATGAAAAAACATATATCAGAACGCCTGGTACTTATAGTTCATATAATACAGTAGATGTCAAATACACTTTTGAAACCAAACAAAAATGCAAACTGAGATCACTAAAGTGGCGCTATCAGATTTCTTCACCGATGCCTCGTCTCAAACCAGAGATAGCAGAATCATAAATACTTGAAGCAGATTATTGTATTTTAAACTAGTGTTATTATATAACCCAGGAGATACATTCTAGAACGGAATATTCCACAAACACAACTTTCGGCAAATGTTTCTTATTCGAATATATCACCCTACACAGAGTATAAAAGCTCTTCCACCAACAGACAAGATACATTTAAAGATTATACTAACTTTAATTACACTCTCTAGTAAGACATATCGTATACATTTTCTTCTATTTATATCTTCCTAATATAACTGGAATAATAATTCGGCCATTAAACGCCTAGTGTAAAATTTTCACTAAGTTTGTCCGTCCTCTTAAACATGACATAGAAAGGGAGTATATCATCAGAATATCTTTGATAATACAAAAAAAAAGCGTTTCCATTCATTACAGATGGTTCAGCAGTGTTGATGAGTAGTAACTTTACTGAGGCAAGAGCGGAAGTGAGCAACCTTCTCCCACAGCAGGGTGAGGAAAGCGACGATAAAGCCCAGGAAGAGCGCGTAAAATGCTCCCTGCACGTGGTTCAGCCACAGCACAGCTTCTCTGGATTCATCCTGGTGAATTTATATGTGCATGACAATATATATATATATATATATATATATATATATATATATATATTTATATATATATATATAGCCTCGATCTCACTTGTTTTCAAAAAATTTAAATTATGTAGCTTAAAACTAAGCCTATTGTCCAATAAAGCTTTTATTATGACTTAAGACTGATATACTCCAAACGCATCATGTGTCTATTGGCCTACATCACTGAGTAGTTACCTAATGGCCCTTGCATCAATATTTATGATGAAGCCAAATTACCTCTGCTGAACGTTTTCTGAGATATTAGAAAAATTCACATTTCTTCCAGATGTCATGAAGGGACTTTTCATAGCTCTATATAAAAAAAAAAGCCTTATTTTGGCACTAAGATGTACAGCCCAGAAACCAAAATTGTGTCTTCATAATGCTGATATACAGCAACGTCTCATAGAATGCAACTCCCTGATCTACAGCTATAGACATGATATAACCAATATACTATTGGTTGACAATCCATAGAAACACATTTATAAATACAGATATAAAAGAGCGTAATTTACCTGAGTTGTGTCTCCTTGGGGTGCCTGCGAGTCTAGTGCTGCAGTTGCCCGAGTCTCTCTCACGCGTCTGGCTATCACGTCGTCAGTCCAGTAGCTCGTGAGCCCAGTAGCTTCCAACCGCAACTATTAACTTGCTAAAAGGAGGGTAGAATGGTGCGCCTTTCCTGAAGTATAAATAGGTAATTTATATTAACAATGGTAGGTAAATATTTGTAGTTATGTTGACTTTATTATCCATATGACCTGAATGCTGGTATGGTCAGTTTACATTTCTGTAGCTTAACTTATAGTGAAACTCATAAGTGGTAAAAAGATCACATAAGTACTTACAACAAACGTTAGTGCCAACAATTTCCTTGCTGTAAACATTGATCCATAACTCACAACTGAAAGAATGGAATATGACAACTACAGGAAATTTGTCAGTGAACCAGTAGGTGATCAAAGGGAGATTATGAGCTTCGAGGCTGCAACCGCCACTCTGTACTCACCTGAAGCTCCAGCCTAGGTTAGCCAATACAGAGATGCCTTTATTACTGATGAAGAAGGGGGTCTGGCCTCGAGAGTCTGTGTAGCGAGAAGCGACGATGACACTGATGTAGTTCTTAAAGACAATTAAAGAGAAACCCCCGTCCAACACCTTCTGCAGTGCCTTCTCCAAGTCAAGAATCTAATGCAAATATATATATATAACATGTATATAAAAGCAGCGTTTTCATTATGTATAATACGTATTAGAATCAAACGAAAGGTTTTCAACAGTTTAGGTGAGTTATATAGCTCTACGAATGACAATCTTAACTGACGGACCGACTCACTCACACTTAGCGAAATGCCTGTTGTATGATAATTGCTGCAACGATGTGTGTCACATCTTCCAACAACAGTAATAGTGTGTACGACGAACGGGCAATAGATTTACAAATTGGATATATAATAAAAACGAAGAACTATTAATACTATGTAATTTTTCGTAGTAATCTATCCAGGATTTTTTTTTTTGTAATTGTTGTCCAGGAATTCAGTACACTTACTTTACTTGTTCTCCAACTCAATATGATAGTAGTATAGAAGTCTTCCGACTGTTCCTCTAATAACACCTCAGCAGTCTCGCCATACGAAAGCCTCACCCTTGCTGGAGGTACAATGCTTAAGATTTCAAAACATATTGCATGAGAGTCGCTTTTGGATAGATCTAGGCTGTAGGGAGGTTTATGAGTTTATCGAAACACTTCCTCAATAGGCATCGATGTAACATGATTTGTGGACTGGTGTGTTGTCTCATATCAGGAGCATAGCTCTAGTCACCCCCGATTTTCTTCTTCTGGTGGACGTCGTTTAGTTTTCCTTTTAGACCATCGAAACAGAAATTGTTCATTGGAATTTTATGCGGCAAGTAGTCGATCAACAGAATCCCTTTGGCATCCCAGAAAATCAAATCATATTCTAGGCGATACAAGGTTGACTCCTGAAGTGTTTCAAGGTCAGATGATTCGAAAATTTCTCCTACATACATTCCATATGGAGTCGTATATTAATCAAAATAGATATTTCTTACTTAATTTATAGTAGTTGTTATCTATTGTATAAATTGACTAAACGTACCTGCTTAAAAAACCTTAAATGCAAGAAACACAGTAATTCCTATAAACATCAACAAATATATTTACCGCACTGTTAGAAGACATTTACATCTTATTTCTTTTATTCGAGAAAAATTTGTAATTATCAACTCATAGTTCTGTACATGTATGAATTCATTGTACTATGGTAGGCTAGTTTCCATCATTCAAATATGAAAAACAGTCAGACAAATAATGAAATAACATGGTCTTCCTTTAACGTCTACTTTTTTATTTATTTTTTTTGTCACATTACCTGATTCCGGGTTCGATTCCCGGGCCGGTGGAAGTTGTTTGGACTTACTTCCTAGCCCCCATTAGTCCCTGTTCACCTAGCAGTAAAGTAGGTACCTGGTGTAGGTCGAAAGTTGCGAATTCGTATTCAGGGACAAGTTGTTGGAGCTTCCAATAATTTGAGGACATAAACCACTGACTCTTCAGGCTCCTACGCCCTTAACTCATGAGACATAAAGGCAAGCATGAACTTAGCATGCTTCCCTGTTGGGCGCTGTAAACTCTTATGCGCTTCACCTTACACAATGATGTAGGGGAGTGCCCAATAAAAAAAAATTACCTGATTCACACATTCAGACATTCCATTAGTTATTTAAAATAATGAAGTCTCTATCTGAGTCCATGTTCATCAGAAATGAAAGTGTCTGATATTCTGTGTGTGTGTGTGTGTGTGTGTGTGTGTGTGTGTGTGTGTGTGTGTGTGTGGAGCCCCACATCAGGCAGACATGCTTACAGAGCTCCAGTAAGACCCCAGCCACTAATTAGGCGAAAGAGGTGGACAAGCATGGGAACCCAACGACTACACCGGCGGATGAACGCAATGCATGATGAACAGCCTACATAGGCGAAACTCAACAAACTGGGCCATCAGCAGTCCATTGCAACTCTCCTTCTCCCCAGCCGTCGCAACTACTTGCACCGCTGGATCAGGAAAAG